TTTCCAGTAAGTGTCTCCTCCAGTCTGTCTATATTGTCCCATGCAAGATTTGTGAAGGCATAGGGTTTGATGGAGACTGGTAGAACTGCTCTCTGGTTGAAGCCCATTGCTAACTTCTGGAGACAGAGAGCAGTATCATTCTCTTCTAGCTGGTCATAAGACACTCCATGTCCAAACTTGTTCAGTGTCCGAATGACCTCAATGTTTCCAGTGAGTGCTTTCACCGCATAATGAAGCAGGAAATGTTTTGGTGGTTTATACTGCCCACGTGTCACAGCATATATCATGTCCTGGCTAAATGACTCAACTAGAATAGCAGTTCTGTGGGATGTATTCGTAGTACAAGAATCTCCAGTGAGGAGCCCGACAAGAAATCGCTCTAGTTGATTTGGTATGGCGATATGAGTAGCTACATCAGACGGATGGTATGGCTATGGTGTGGATATCATGTCCTGTTTGGTGGCCGTTCGGATATGTGATAAGTCTGATCTATGATCTTGTTGACATCTGTAGACTTGGCCTTCCAAAGCTTGAGAGAGAGTTTTGAGTAGAGTTTGATTTTCCAAGACAACATCCTTTAATGATACACAGTAGGGAACCAACAACAACTTTCCCTTGTTATCGGGAAATATTTCCATGGAACCTCCAAGCTCGGATTGCAGTCTTCTGTGGATATTCTTCTTTGTTGAATCCTTCAAAAGTTTAACTCCACCAGATAACTATATTTAGGTAAATAAAGAATCTTTGACTAGTTGAAATAATAGACACAAATTACTGTCCTAACTGCTATACGAGCTTACAGCAATTTTGGTCGCCATCTTGCATTTTGGTGGCCATCTTGGATTTATTTTCATAAAATGTGTGTTCAATGTTTTAGGTAAAGACAATAATGAAATCTACGACTCATAATACCTGGTCATAGACACCAAAATCACTATCCTAGCTGCTCTAGAACATGATATATAGCTAAATAAGCATTTTGGCGGCCATTTTGGAAAAGGGGAGATAACTCACATAAAGCTGCCACCCCCACAATGCTATCACATATTTTCTAACTCTAGGGGTCCAGACCTTCCCAAAAATCACTATTAGCATTCTCCCCCCGATTTGATACCGACCAACCCCCCTGGCTGATGGACTATTGACACACATTTATCAGTATTAGTAACTACAGTGACAGTCCGTTTACCTATAGGTGGCACCGTGGCATACATTAATAATCATGCGCAAATTGTTCACCGCGTTGCACTATTTTGTCTAGAAAAAAGGCTTTCCTTTGAATTTTCGGTAAAATTAGGAACTAGAGTGCAATACTTTGCATGATGGCACCAAGGTAGAAGCCCCGTGCACGTCTAGAAAGCATTAAGTTAGATTAGTTTTGTGGTGTAATATTCCTGCGGTCGCGTCAAGTGGTGTAGCCATAGTGGCGGTTGACCGTTTTGTATTTGATAATTCTTAAAATCAATGTGGCAAATGTTTCGAGTGAAGATCGGTGTTTGAATCTGTAGTGATTTAACGTGAATAAAGTGTACGTCGCGTATAAGACGAAACTCTCTCTAAGTATTTGTAATTGATTCTGTTTGATGTTTATTCTGGCTTGCTGCCTATGGACACCCTCTACGGTTGCACAACACCTATAGCACGGGCACACATTATTGCCTAAACACACTGCAGCGACAACGACCAATTGTAACGTTCAGCGTCAAAGTTACAACCACTGACCACAGCTATACTGCAGGCGTTAACGACTGACCCCAGCTACACTGCGGGCGTTACCGACTGACCCCAGCCACACTGCAGGCGTTAAAGACTGATCCGCAGCTACACTGCAGGCGTTAACGACTGACCCCAGCTACACTGCAGGCGTTAACGACTGGCCCCAGCTACACTGCAGGCGTTAACGACTGGCCCCAGCTACACTGCAGGCGTTAACGACTGACCCGCCGCTACACTGCAGGCGTTAACGACTGACCCGCAGCTACACTGCAGGCGTTAACGACTGCCCCAAACCACACTGCAGGCGTTAACGACTGACCCGCAGCTACACTGCAGGCGTTAACGACTGCCCCCAGCTACACTGCAGGCGTTAACGACTGACCCCAGCCACACTGCAGGCGTTAACGACTGACCCGCAGCTACACTGCAGGCGTTAACGACTGACCCCAGCTACACTGTAGGCGTTAAAGACTGACCTCAGCTACACTGCAAGCGTTAACGACTGACCCC